CCCGGTTTGCGTGTGGGGCTGCAGGGGGTGAGGCCGCTCCCGCGGGGACACGGGGCTGGTGGGCTGTGCTCGCAGCGTGTTGCCTTCTCCCTCCCCCAGGTTGGTGCCCTGGGGAGCTTCTCCTTCTTGCGCGTGCAAGGCATTGCTCTTTGTTGCCTTGGGAAGGGAGGGAGGGCTGTTCCTGCTTCTTGGTACTGTCCAGATCCTAGGAGGCACCGGGATAGTGTGAAGACCCAAATCTTCCAGGAGGTGCACGGACTTTATCCCAAAGCTTCTTAGAGCTGTCTTTTCATACAGCTTTTTTATTTTCACCTGCTCTCTGTGTTGAAGCAGAATGACTTAAAGATGTTTTCCTAAGCCCATGCAACTTTTGGTTTTGATTTTGAAAGAGAGGAGTTTCTCCTGTAGTCCTTGAAATTGCATTTACTGGGGTTTCAGTTCTAGGAAGGGTCACGTAGCTCCTGCTGCACTTCTTACAAATTATTTAACCTTTGCAGCTTATTTAGATTAATTGGTGCATATTAGTTTTTATATAGGATATTAAATAACAATATGTTTTAGTTTAAGAGTCTCCAATAGTTGGAGCAGTAAAGATCCTATAAAGATTCCACAGCCTTAAATACCTAAGAGATGAAACTGGGGGGCAATAACTGAAAGAACTGGTACTCAAGAAAGGAGGAGTTTGGTTTTAGGAAGTGAGTAAGAGGAAATGATCTCAGCTTGGCATCACAGGGCATAACCCACGTGTGTGGTGGTGATTTTTTCTATTTTAACAACTTATTTGTTTGCTTTGCAAGCCACGATATCTTGTCCTCACAAGAGAGGCCCTTGACTGTCTTCAGCATGAACTGTGGCATATGGGAGTTGGGAGGATGAGAAGATGATTTATGGTGACTGCTAAGATTGAGGAGAAAGGTCACATTGGAGAAGGAGACACTCTGTTAGCCTATGCAGGTTTTGTTGGGGGTGAATGAGTAGAGCAGGATAGACTGGGACAAGAGTTTCATGGTAAATAACTCAAGGTAGATGATGGGGGGAAGCAACAGTCTCCTATGTATTTGTAAGTAAATCATTACCCTTATGTTGATTCAAGCCAGAGACTTTTGAAACCTCTTTTTGTGTGTTTTCACTGAGCACTCTGCACAGCTCACTCTGTCATTGTGCTTATAAAACATGCCCATGTTTTGCTCAAGTACCATCCATTTTATACCTATTATGGGATAAAACAAGTAGTAATAACTGTCTCCTCTTTCTTTTGTAGTTTATAAAGGTCACATAATTTTACCAGCTAAACTGTGCTGTCCAGCCTGGTGATCTAGCAGCTTTAATATTTCTCCTTCCTCAAAGCCACTGCCTCCTTACACCTCAGCTTTGTGGAGAGCTGGATACATTTAAAAGACCACCAAGCTGTGGTTAAAAAATACTCAGCTGAACAAGAGAGCTGCAGGCCTGACTTGAGAACAAACCCAAGACAGGAGTAAAAAGAAAGCAAATAAGCTTCTCTAGGTCATCTTTGGCTTATATACCTTGAAAGCTTCCTTCAAGGAAGGCTAAAGTGTGATTCCTTTTTAATTTGAAGTTTATGGGGGGGTGGAAAAGGACAAGTGGCTAATTATTTCTTTCCCTTCTAATCCTCAACTGTGTATGCAACTTCATTACTGTTCCCATTTCATTTTTGTGAGTATCTAGAAAGTGTTGTTTCTGTTGATTTTCAGCATTCTCATACCTATTGTGTGGGTAGATTAAGAAATTATTTATATATATATATATATTTAAAATTACCTGACAAGATAATTTTGGTGATGGTTTGGTTTAGCTTTTTATGTGATCCAGACCTGACCTCTGTAATTCAAAGTCTTGGGATACAAAATCTTTCCTGTCATCTTGGCTTTTTTTTTGAATTTTCAAATATCCATTATAGGAACAGCATAAATAGAGAAAGGTTCCTGGTGGGTATTTTTTGTCTCAAAATTATGAGAATAAGAAAAAAGCCCCTCATTTGGAGGCATGATGATGAGATGGTTGGATGATATGGAGTAAGTATCCCCTCTTTCTAATAGTGTCTCAAAAGAAATATCTCCAAGAAAAGTACTAAGTATAAAACAATCAGTCTTGGAGACATCTTTGCAAGCAGCTTCTTACTAACACACTTTGCCTAATGTGATAAGAAACCCAAATAACCAAGTTGCATTCTAGTTCTCAAACTGAATAGAACTGAGTGGTTGTGGAAGTTCCTTATACTAAAATGTATTTGTTTTTTCTTTTTTTCCACCCTTTTTTCCCCACTCTGTTATTGTCTGAATAGAGAAACAAGAAATCAGTTCCCAGAGTTTATTAGTCTGCTCTTCTGGATATCTAGATCATCACCACTTACTGCGTGAGAAAAGACTTATTAGGAATGGATTCCTTAATAGGAATGAATTCCACTTTCCCATGGTGGGTCTCAGAAAGCTTGCTTATTTTCAGCTTATAATTACAAGTAACTGGAGTTGTTTTCCAGACAGGCAAGGTAAACAAATGCATATTCTTTCAGGCAGTCTATGAAAGGCAAACTTTGTTTACATCTTCCCAGTCAGCAGAGCTCCCATCATGTTTTAAGGTGTGCTTCAGCAACTAGAAAAATTGCTGTCAGACAAAACTGGAAAATAAATGACATGAGTGCAGTGTTATTACAGTTAAAGCTTTTACCTTCAATAAGGTGCCAGTTCCTCTCAGGCTCAAATGTTTCTTGCTTGCCTAGACAGCAGAGCCAATTGCCTTTTAATAGGAAAAGATGGCACTTGTTGCTGGTCAAAGTAGGTATCCAGCTAACTTTTTCTAGGTTTTAGGAAAGATTGGCAGTTAATTCCTGCCTGCTGTAGGAAGGAGATGAGCTTCGTGGTGCCTTAGTCAGAAGTAGTTAGAAAATGTTGCTGTTGCTTTTCCCAGTGGTTGCAATCCCTGGGGACTGAAGCAGGTTATCTTGCTTTTCTTACTTTGTTTCAGACCTGGCACTTCTCTGATGTTCATTCATGGATGCTGCTTGTAGTGACATTGTCTCTTGGAGTAGTATCTACTTGTTGCAAGTGCCGTCTTGCCTCTTTATTCCCTATTGCCCTAAGCTTTATTTACATGAGAGTGTGGAGTTACTGGCTGAGTCTGGAACTCTGCCTGAAAACACTCCACCTATAACACAACAGAAGCTGTTGGTTTGTGGCTTTTCTTTGATACAAGATGTTTTCATTAAGTAAAAAACATGGAGAAGGTCATTTTCAGAAGATGTTAGTGTGCTTGTTTTGGACCTAGCCCTTTTCCCTAGTGAATCAATCATTGCACAACTCAGCATGACTGGCAGTCTCTGATGGGGAGGCAGAAGCTCCAGCTTGCAGATAAAAGTGAAGGAACTGACCAGAATTCAGCTATCCTAGCAAAACCAGGCAGGAGAAACTTGTAGGTGACATCAGTGCTGGGTATGTTTTAGTAGTTAAAAATGTTTAAGGCTATATATTGATAAGAAGGACCACTTAAGTCTGAGTGCTGTTTGTATTGCTTATGGGAGAACTACTAGAACTGAGCTCAGATACATTTATGAAGAATTAATCTCACCTCACAAACTTGTACAAGCTTTAAAACCCACAAGGGAAATGCATAATGTAACAGAAGTTTGTAACTTTTTAAGCAAAGCATAACATGAATAACTGTAAGCTTATGTTTATCTATAAAATAGCTAAGACTTGCAGGCTTTGAATTGCTACACAAATATTCCAGAGAAGGCCTTTGGACAAACTTTAAAATTAAATTTAATCTGAAGACTGTATAAAAAACAGTAAGTAAAAAAAAAAAAAATACCCAAAGAGCCTACTGGTGACATATATGCAGGTTGACATGCTGTAGAGGAGTCTTAGTTATCTTTTTAAAAAGAAGTAATCAAGTGACAGGACTTGGAAACAAAATAGTCACTGTAGTTTTGTAAGCAGACTGCTGATAAGGGACAAAACCAAGCCTTGCATCTGAGTTTCTAATGAAGACACTGGCATGTGTCTTATTATAGGGTCTTCTTTAGTCTCAGCTTTCATTCATGTCTGGAGTTACATGTGACAGCAACCTGTCCATGGATCTACTTCTGATTGAATTCTGCCTTTTTTCCCAAATCCATTTGCTTCTGTGTTCTAAGCAAGTGCTTAGAGCTCTCAAGTTGTGTAGCATGTACAGTTCCCTTACCAGGTGATGTTTGGGTCTCTGCAGTTATCTGCTTGTACTGAGAGGAACAGGAGTTAGGTGCTGAGCATTCACTCCTCTGCCTTTGTTTCTCCTAGGTTCAGGTGTCATTCAGCCACGATCCTTGAGGACAGGAGACTCTGTATTCCAAGGAGGCTTTAAAGCTAAGCCAAAAAAAAGGAAGGAAGGAGCAATCAGGTAGCTCTGGTGCTCAGGGAAGGCAGCTGTGAGAAGCAATCCTGGGTGGTGTTACTTGCTGCTGTTGCAGCGGAGCTCACAGCTGGGGTGGGCCTGCCAGAGGAGCTGTTCTGCAGTGTGTGACAGTTTGGCCTAAGAGCAGGGATGTTTACTTGGATTGTGAACTTCGTTGTCTCAGCCTATTGCTGCATGTTAATTGATGAGCAAGTGTGGTCTCCTTTTGCTGGAGCAGATTTACATTTGTGTGGGTTTTCTTCTACTAAAAGAACAATGGGGAAATCTCCCGTGGCTTGTCAGTGTTGCTGAGCAGCCTGTTGACCCTGTGAGTTTCTGTATTTAGCTCTTGTCCAAAATAATGACATTCTTGACCTTTCTTTTAAGACATGTCTGTAAGATGTTACAACTTCAGTTTCAGCAGGCATTTGGGAGAGGGAAATAAAGCAAAGTAGGTTTCTAAGTAATTATCTTCTTAAGTAATTTATTTTTCTTATTGTTATTTTTCCCCCTCTTCATCATAAGCCTTTGTTCACAAAACATTTTGTCATTGGAGATTTACATTGGTTTTGAAACAAGGTGGAGCATTAGTATAATGAGACTGTATCATAATGAAAGTAGTTTAATTAACTAGTTATATAAAATAGTAATGACTTCTGGAGATGTTTATACTGCATTTGCAATTGATTTTAATCTGAGAGAGCTGCCCTTAGTAGGATCATCCTGATTAATGTAGAATATTTCTGATTATTAGTTAAGTTCCTTTATGATACAGAAAGCGAAAAACTGGTTTTCTTCCTTTGTATGTATATTAGAGGAGCAAAAGAAAGCCTGTATGATTCTAAACCATCTGAAAAAACTTGTTTCTAAAGAGCCAGAGAGATGGAACCAGCTGATTTCCCACTTTAGGTGAGTGCACTTACAGTGAATGTCAGCTTCTTGGAACAAGTGTTTGAAATATCTCATCAAACTGGCTGCTCAATGAGGTTATTTTTAATTATTTGTGACAGTTGTTCTTGAAAATATTCTCTCAAGATTTAGGTAGTCTTGGATCAGACTTCAGTATTATCTTTGAAAAAAGTAGGTAAACACAGTCTCATAAATCATGGCTACATTGGTAATTTTGTGCTGAGTAGACAACCTTAATGATGAAATAGCTTAAAGGCTACAATCTAAGGTGTGTAATAGAGGCTACACTTAATAGAGCTAAAAAGCCACCTGTGTAGCATAATGTTAGAAGAAAAAAAGGCCATTTTTTGGGTATTGATTTTATTTTCAATTTCAGTCTCTCATCAGCTTCTGAAGATTGGTGCTAATAAAGCATAACACCCACCTTGTAAAAGGAGCTTCAGATAAACTACAATGGCTTCTTGTTGGCCACTGTCTATTTGGGCAATGGCTGAATTACATATTGATCATATTTCTTCCCCATATGGTTGCACTTTTTTTTTGAAGGTGAGGTGATTTTGGCTAGATGCTTGTTTTGTAGGGTTTGGTCATTTAGATACCTACCAGGTGTCTTAAGGGCTTAAGTGTAATATCAGTGTGGGGGAAGATGGGGGATTTAAATCATTATGATGATGCTGATATAACTCAGCCTAGTGAGTTCTCTTATTACATATAAAAAGCCTTTTTCCAATAGTTTCATAAGAAGTAATTTGAGAGTAGATGAAGCAACAAAAAAACCACAAACAAACCCAAATCCTCCAAAACCATGAATGCTTTTCTAGAAGAAAAATGGGTTGTTTGGCAGTTATGCTTGTGTGCTGAAATGGGTTTAATTATACTGACTCAAACTGTCCTGTGTAAACAAATGATTTGTGACTTCTTCACGTTGATCCTGAAAGAAATAACAAAAAGCAGTTGTGGGTGGAAAGGTCTGTTCTGTCCTGCTTTGTTTGGGCTTCTACTCAGTCTAGTGATTTTTTTTGCTTCCACCCTTGCCTAAAGCTTCTTGAGAAGAGATACAGGTAGTCCACATGACAAGAAAGAGGGGCTTGCTTACTGGTTTCAGTGATACTGTTGGTAAGAGAAAGATAGAGCAATATTCCTTATTTTACCCTGTGAAATGCAGAAGTCTCTTCTGCCTGGTAATGCCCTCACAGGTGGGATTCTCCACGAGGAGATCATCCTCTGCCTTTTGTAGAACCTTTATATTGCAAGGAGTCTTGTGACCATTTATTTTTAACTCAGCTGAGTGCTTGTTTACCTTTGTCAAGTGACAAAGTTTTAATGTAATTCTATGCTAAACTTTCTTTTGAGGGAGGCAGTAGGTGAGCTAAGGAAAAGCTGTCTCATTACTTTTTTTTTTTTCCCCTCCAAATTACAATTTCATATTTTTGTCACAGGGTTTGGATTTTCATGGCATTGTACAAAAGTTATTGAGGAAAAACCCTGCAGCATCTTTGGCAACTAATCAGATACAGTCTGCTGGACATAATAATTTTGTCTGAAGTAAAATTAAACTCAGAATTTCTACAGTGACTTAGAGGACCAGCAATGAAGTGTTGCTTTATAGTTGCTCCTCTGTCTCTTATGCCTAATATGCTCTTTTCAATATCTTGGTTATTGAATCTGGGGAGGCTTTCTTCTCTTGCCTGGGTGGTGCATGTTTTAATTTGAAGGTTTGAACCTTCTCAAATATAATTTCTTAACCAGACTGTGCCAGCTGTGATTTTTTTTCTAGAAGAGAAGGTCATACCATCAGTTGATTTTAATTCCAGAGGGTAAACCACGTGAGGAATGATTTTTTGATCTGGGTACCTTGAAGTTTATAAAGGGCTCACTTTGGAGCCAGGAGAGGAAAAGACAGAGCAAGAAATCTAGGAATCTGTACTGTATTCTAAATGCAGAACTACTCATTAGTGCTTTTGAATTAGAGACAATCATCTTGCTGAGTTCAGAGGGTGTTTTGGCAGCGTGATTGGCAGGGTTGGGTTTGAACCTTGTATTGAATGACTTGCCACAGTTTGGCAAATCAGAATACATTTTATTGGAATTTAATTAGTTTTTCTCTGTGTGTCTTGGCAGTAAGAAATTTGTGAACTCTAAGCATGCTAATACACTTCTGCACAACTGTATTGACTGTTAGTTTTCTTTCTCTGTGGCATAAAATCATCCTCTGCCTGGAGAGGGGAAAATAAGAATGTGCCATTGTCTGCTGTAAAGACCTGCAAGACAAGCCTAGAGGTCTTTCTAGCTTAAAATTTAAGACCTTTCTTTGACTCTGACTGGAAAAGCAATTAAATGGTCTGTGACCTAAGTGTGAAAATTGAGTAATGGAGGAAAGAAGGGTTGTAGTTGGCTTTTTAATGTTCTGCCATTGTTAAAATCTGTTTAACATCAGTGCCTAGCATTTTTAAGAGGGTGCCTCTGATCAAAGATTCAGCAGAAGTAGTTTTAATACTGAGACCTAACAGTGTTCTTTGAAGGTGCTAGAATATCATTAAATGAACCCAGAGAAAATTAGAATTGGCAGTTTATAATTCCTTTTTTTTTTTTTTAATATGAACATTCTTTTGGAGTAGGTGGAGAAGGTTACGTTATGAAGAGCAAAAAAATCCCCAGACAATCCCAGTTTAAAAGGTCTTGGAGGTCACCTCTAATGATGAGGCAATGATGTAATTGGTTTGTATTACATGATTCAAGTCATCATCTGTCCTCCACATTAAGTTTGTGTGGAGAGATCACCAGTATGAATTGGACAGTAGGCATACATTAAGCTGTGAACTCTTATTTCATAAAATGTGAAGCAGGATTCCACACCTGGGGTAATTCTGAAGGCCTTTCCAGAGTTGAGGAAGCTGTCTGTGTCTGTGGTGGCTTTTTTGCTCAAGGTTTTTAATCCTTTTCTTACTGAGCTAACCCAACTGGAGTCTCAGAATAGGTCAAGAGTCTATCCAAGGGTAATTAATGACTGATTTAGTTTATGTTCCTGACTGGCTTGTTTCTTTTTCAGATCCCTTGCAGTTGGCAGTAAATCAGGCTACAAATTCTTCTCTCTTTCTTCTGTGGACAAATTAGAGCAGATCTATGAATGCAGTGAGTATCTGGTTGTTTTGTTGGGGTTTTTTTTCTCTTTTATTATCCCTTCAGCTGGCTTAATTTGGGAAGAGTAAGACATGTTTCATTTTTTCACAGGTGGTTTGAAATTGACATAGGAACAACCTTAAGTATATGATGAATTATGACACAAATACAAAACAAGTAGCAGGGTAAAACTATGTCAGTCTTCTGTATTTAAATTTAGCTGGTATATTGTGAAATTTGGTAATAGCTACAAGAACAAGTCTTTGCTTTTCTAATTTTATGTCCATTAGCCAGACTATGTAGTAGCTGAGCATAAAAAACAAATCACTGGTGTGAGAGAGTGTCTTTTAGGTCTTTGTACTGGCTGTTGGGGCAGGCAATGACTAATAGACCATTATCAAATAAAAAAAAACAACAACCAACAACAAAGCCTTTTATTATCCTTTTCTTTAATCCTAATATTTGCTGTTAGAAAAAGACTTGTTAGAGTGATAGCTGCAGGTTTACTCATCCAAAAGGGTGAATAATGCAAATTCCCCTAACTTTTCAATACTAATCACAATTGATTAGGATGTGAGGTGAAATGGAGGGAGGCTTGAGGGAGAAGTAGTGTCCTCTGTTTTGTCAGCAGATCATCAGCTCCCCTTTTTGTTTTTTGAGGTGTTAATAAGTAAGCTATGAATGCTATGCATGAGTATCCCTGCTTTCTTATAAACTCCATAGGGACAGATGGTACCAAGAGCTGTGATGTCAGCATTTCTATCCTGATGTATCACACTACACAACAGAGTTGTCTTCAGACTCCATTCTCTAAGTGACCTGACCCTGTGGCATCTTAAGTTTGGAAGTGGTGTGTGATTCAGATCCCCTGCTACCTGTGGTGACAGCCTGATGGTACACACAGCCAATGGGGAGAAGTAATTGTGAGGTTCAAATTAGGCACCTGTGGTCAAGTCAAATGATGTTACAGCTACATCTGCCTCTTTGAGTCATAGTCTGGTTGTACTGGTTAATGGGTGGCTTGAATTCCATTTTATGCCATTGAGTTGAGGTACCTGAGCTCTGTAGCGTGTTAGGAACTCACAGTATCTGCCCTGATATCACCCCAGGAGGCTCAGTGAAGATGACTCCTCTTTGAGTGAGCATTTTTGAGGACCCCTCCCTCTCTAAGACTGATCTACCAGTTCTTGTGTAAGTGTCTAAAGTGAACTACAGAATATGCCCCAGCTGTCTGGTGTTTGAGAGAGACTGAAAATAGTGGGAAGTTTCTTTGCTCCCATCACTGACTTCTCTTGTGACTTTATACCAGTCACCTAAGTCCCTGCTCAGCTGATCCCTCTGTGAAAATAAGCATTAGATTGGAGAGTGCCTTAAAGTTTAATTAATGCTTATAACATGCTTCATGTTCTTGGATTAACAATGGAATCACAGCACTGCTGATCATAATCTAGCTGGTTCTAAGCAGCTCTTGCCTCTGATGCTACATGCTTGTGTTTATGAAACTGTAACCTTGTTATGTATTTGCTTATTCTCCTCTCAGTGCTGATGCTTAAATCATTTTGCAGTTCTTTTTCTTCTCACTCTATTTGGATCCAAGTTCTGGTGACACTCACTTGTGTAGTGTTAAGGAGAAAACACAAAGAGAAAAAACAAACCTGAGTAGCAGCATTGCTGTAGGACTTAACTAGTGCTTCTAAACATGATTCATTCAGGTCAGCTGGATGCAGGATGTGCAGCATGGCCTGGTACTGCACTGGAGTTGCTGCTTGGTAGGAGGTATACATGGCTTGGGAGCTGTGAGGAGATTTTCTCACTCCTTCCTGTTAGGGAAGACAAAGGAACAGAGGTGCATCCTGTATTTTTCAAGTAAGTTTAATTAAGAGCCCATCACAAAGCCTTTCTCTAAAGGCCTGTGTTTTAGTAAGTCTTTGCCAGGAGGCTGAAGGATTGTTTGTGCCTTATCAGTGTTGTTGCAAGTTTCTTCTTCTGTCTGTGACTGCTTAGTTCTTGATAGTGCTCTTCCCTCCACTTCCCATCAGTGCAGCTTGGACAGCACTTTTTCCATCTCAGTCCCTGCTGCTGTTCCTCCTCTGAAATACCAGTTCTCCTGTCTGGGAGGGTATCCAATCCCAGAAGCTCTGTCTTACCTCAGTTTTCCCTGCATGGGGAAAGAAGCTTTGCTCACCCAGGAGCAGTCAGGCTGTTTTTAGGTGTCTGTGGGCTGGTCTGCTGACTCTTACAAAAGGATGCCATTACGAGGGACTCCAGGCTTAGCTGCAAAGCTGATAACCTGCACTGTAAAATATTTGAGAAGCTTTTTATGTTACTAGTCTGATTCAGTGCACCTCTGCATTTGAAAGCCTGTGCATGACTTCATTGCATAGATTCATAAAGTCATTGAAGCAGATTTCTGTCTTTTTCATGTGTTATGTGGCATCAGGAAAACAGAGAACAATTCCTTGAAAACAAAGTAATTACTAAAATGCATTATCCCTCTTGCCAAAGCAAGAAAATGGAATTTTCAAGCCTCTATGAGCTGTTTTGTCTCTTCTGGAAAAGTACTATATTAAATATGAGCTTTTGATAAAAGTCAATTTTGTTGCATAAAATCCTGAAAATGCCTTGTATAAACCTGCTCCTTTTCCATAAGGGAGCTCTTTCTTTCTCCAGCCTAAAAGAATGTAGAATATTAAATATTTTCTGTCCTTTTTCTTGAAATAACTGCCCAGAAAAAGACTTTCAAAGCAGACCTATCACACAGTGATGACATTGTTATATGCTGAGGATGTTGGGCAGAGCTTTTTTTTCAGGGAATTTTTATCATTGGTGACAAGAACAGTGCCAATTACTTAATGTGTCTCTTGGCCAAAACAGAAGCCTTCAGAAATAAGCTTCTCTTTTTTTTGTTGTTTTTACTGGCAGTTTTACTGCTTGGAATGTGTTGAGCATTGAGCTCATCCAGATACTGACTTCTGGAAAGTGTGGCTGTTTTGGGGGATCAAGGCCAAAGACTTGAGGTCTTGATTCTGTTCTGTAATGGAAGGGCAGATGGAGCTGGTAGCTGTGGGAGAACTGCAAGGAGTGGTAAAACTCTGGCCAGCTTTCTCCTGTGGGAAAACTGTCCACTGTGTCTCTGGGGTTTTTGGAGGGGAGCTTCAGGGAATGGGAGGGGGAATCACACGTGCTAGGGTAACTACTGTGGGGGGACTTGGGCTCCTACCAGCTTAGTCCAATACTGTATTATAATCAAATGCTCTGAAGGAGCTTCTTTCCCAGAGATCCTGAGCTATTCTCCCTTCTGTCTTTCCCACATTTCGAATGGTGACTCTTGTGCCTCCTTTGCCTCCAGTGCTTCCACAGCAGAACATGTGACAAAAGCAATGCTGCTTTATGGCTATCCAGACATTTTTGCATTTGATTCCTGCACAGGCTGGTTTTAGGGACTGTCAGGTGAGAGATGAAAAATACTACTCAGTGGCTGAGGAAGTCTTATGATAAACAAGTTTACCAACCTTTCTTTCTTCATGGAGAGGTATGCAGAAATTCCAGGAGTTTTTGTCATCAAAAGCCCTTCCATGTGTAGTAGAGCTTTAAAAACAACAAAAAGTACACACACACAGCCTGAAACAGCAAAACCTATTGCTTTCCTAGATTGCTGCAGACATAAGAGAAGATTGTAAGATTCTGGAGTTTGACAATTTGCTGGGTTTTGTATCTTTTGGAATATTTTTTTTCTGTTGGATCTTGGGCAGGGAGGAGTGGATGCTCTGTTCTGAAGTGTAAACTTGCATGACAGCTGTGGGGGAGGGAGGTGGGAAATCTCTGTAGATCAGTATTTACTGGGTAGATTTTCTGCCTTTAAAACTTGTCCTGCATCCCACCTTGATTCTGAGCTGTTGGGGCAGAACGTTGTGATGTTAGATTGTATTTTCTTAGTGTTGCCTGTCGATCATTCTTCCCTAAAATCTCCCTCTGTGTTTTTCCCTCGATACTGTGGTTCCTCAGCTGACACAGAAGATGTGTGCATTGTGGAGAGGCTGTTCTCCAGTAGCCTGGTGGCCATAGTTAGCCTTAAAGCTCCACGCAAGCTGAAGGTTTGTCACTTTAAGAAGGGGACAGAGATTTGCAACTACAGTTACTCCAACACCATCTTGGCTGTCAAACTCAATAGACAGGTGAGTACTCATTTTGACTAGGTAGACACACAGGAAGGGGTTGTGGGTCTTATTCTGGCACTTCCTCTGCTTATTGATGTCTCTTCCTTTGGTGGCAGAATTGTTGTTTGAAATCAACTTGCACTTTTCCAAATGTAGCTTCTATGTATCTGTCTGTAGCTATCTTAGTACTCATTGGTGAAATTTTTGAGTTAAGCACCTGCAGCCACAGTTTGCTGTATTACTAAGTAGTTAGGGAGTTGTTCTGCAAATACAGACTTCTCTGTCTTTGACCAGTTCATTCAAAGTAGAGAGAATGGCATCTGAAGGACAAAATCACCTCAGTGTCTGTACCTGCCACCAAAATCAGGTGTGGGAGGATGGCATTCCTCTTTAAAATCACAAGGGAAACTGTGGCTTCTTTGATTTCTGGCGTAGTGAGGTAGCTTTAAATAAGTAACATCTTGTTAGTCATCCAGGTGTAGTCTATGAAACTGAAAATAAGATCAAAGACAGAATCACACAATCACTTAGGTTGGAAAAGGCCTTCAAAATCGAGTCCAACCACAGATGTTGAAGAACTTAATCAAAGATGTTTTCTTCTTTTGAAAAATCCTCTCACAAGTTATTTTAAGTGATAGACTCTACAAATGGATAAAAAAAGCTCTTGTTTTTTCTGTTTAGCCATATATGACTTGGCCTCCTGGGGGAAGGAGGGTAATGCTTAAGGGCAGAATAAGAATTAAATAGCTTTAGGTGAAGGTTTCTGGCTTACTGACTTAAACTAGTAATGTAAACCATTTTCATTTAAATTAATTTGAACTACCATGGTTGGGAAAGGTGAAGTGTACTGGTCAGTTCAAGTGACCCAGTGTAGTGTTGAGCTGTTGATGTCTTGTCAAGAGTTGTCTTGTGTCTCTTCTGTCAGACTCTTATTTCTTCCCATCAGGTGGGTACAAGCTTTTCTCTTGGAAGGTACCTACTGCATTTTGGGTACAAAATTGTTTAGGATTGATAAATTAACCTAAACTCCAGTCTGATGTCAGCATTTTGTCCTCTTTCCTATGTCTAGAGGCTGATAGTTTGTCTGGAAGAGTCTCTTTATATACACAACATACGAGACATGAAGGTATTACATACAATCAGGGAGACACCTCCCAATCCTGCAGGTAAGTATGGTACTAGAAGCTGACATAACTCCAAACAGTGCATTTTGTGTCAGTTTGTGATGTTTCCTACAGGGAACTGTAGCATTGTTATTTCCACTGTCAAGTACAAGTAATAATTAAATACGTGAGTGTTGTCTTAGAGCCTACCCATTCAATCCAGATGAGGTTCTTGAGAACAATTAGGAGACTCTGCCTTAAACTGCATCTTTCAAGTATTCTGGTCTTCTAGAATGGATGTGTTGCAATACTGGAAGGAAGTAGAGGAGATACAAAGTGGATTTTGACAGCACTTGGTGTAGTTAAAGGCTTTGTCAGCTTAATGCTTTAGGAGTCCAGGCAGACATGGGAAATTCTACTTCTTAGTTATGGTGTTGTGTTTTGCATTCTTCCTTTTCTGCTTCATATCAAAATTTATGCTAAATAGTTGAAAATGTTTCAGGTTGGCTCTGAGACTACTCACCCTTGTTCTGTTCTTTTGCTACCTTGTGAGGATAACTTGAGTTATCTTTGTAATATTGCAGGACAGAATCAGAAAGTTTTGCTGTTTAAGTCTTGCAATTTGCCTCTTTCTAATATTTTTTTTTCTGCATCCCTTCTAGGGTTGTGTGCTTTATCAATAAACAATGATAACTGTTACCTGGCCTACCCAGGAAGTGCAACTATTGGAGAAGTACAAGTCTTTGACACCATCAATCTGGTAAGGATCTCTGTGAATGCTGTTTCCCCTTCTAAAGAGGCAGTTTTTGGAAATGACTTAACTTGCTGAGAGAGGAATTACTAGACACCCAGGCTCCTCTGTGTCAGTTGGCAGTATCTCCTGCAGCCAGGCTCCACAGAACACCCACAAAGAATATACAGACTCTGATATTGGATTTGATGAGTTGGGCAGATGGGTGGAGGAAAGGGAAGTAATTTCTGTTGGAATTGTCAGGTGTCCTGCTGCTTGTACCCTCGATGCACAAGCTGCAGTGAAAACACCGTGTCCTTTTACTTCGCAGTTACTGAAACAAATATTGAAGCTGTTGTCCATAAAATAAAACCATATTTGCCTTGAATGCTCTTAAACATGCAGTCTTAAGCTGCAAACCTGTAGCTTTTAGCCTCTGCTCCACTAAGATTGTGTTTTATTGATCCACTCCTGCAGAGAGCTGCTAACATGATCCCAGCTCATGATAGTCCCTTGGCTGCTCTGGCGTTCGACGCAAGTGGTACTAAACTTGCCACTGCATCAGAAAAGGTAAGGGGTGGCTTTTTAGGGAATGGCTGGCAGTGATAAAAAATGACACTTGTTTCTAAGCTTTTGAAGCAGGTTGAAGTGTGCACAATTCCATGTACAAGTGCCAAAAAATAAGGCTTACAGTTCTAACGACAAATCTAAATTAAGAACTATTAGTGATATTTGACACAATTTCCGTTCTCTAAAATGTTGTGTGATGGTGTTTATTTAAATGAATACATTTTTATCTGGCTGTGAGCGAGGCAATACTCTTGAGTGTTGCTCCCTTTAGTGCAGGATACTTATTAGAAACTGTTTGTCTTGTTTTGACACTATCTTGTGATGAAACCAAGACAGCGAAGGTCAGAATAGAGAGCAGTGTCTCGCCAGGCTTTGGCACACAAAGACAAATTGTCTGTTCAAATTGTATAAATTAGAAAGTCTGAAGCTTCTGCTCTTTGAGTAATAATCTTAGAATATAAGGGTGTAGCAAATCGAATCTGATAAAGGCACAAAGATGTCCAGGAGACTGTACTTGTGGTACTTACCTAGTGTGGTCATTTTCATGATGAAGTATGGTAGGAAAGGGCTATTCTTGATGTAAGGCTTGTTCTTGACATTAGTAGCTCCCACATCTTGTTGTTTCCCTACTCTTCAAACACATCCTAGAAGCAAGCTCCATAAATATTTCATGCTGGAGTGTGGTGTGCATCAATGGCAATAAATTAACAGCACAGTGGTTTGCTGATTGTGGTTGTACTCTGATCACTAGAGCTAACACAAAGTGAACAAACCTGAAATGAAAAGTTTAGTTGTTGTGTTGGTTTTTTCTTTACAGGGGACAGTAATAAGGGTGTTTTCCATTCCAGAGGGACAGAAGCTCTTTGAATTCCGAAGGGGTGTGAAGAGGTAAAGTTCAACTGGGCTAATAATTATCTGAAGCTCATAGCTTATGGTGGATCTCCAGTATGTTCTGCAATTGAGCTGACACCCTGATTTTTGCCTATTTCCATCTTCATCCATGTCTGTACACTCAAGAGTTTCAGCCTGAATGTCTTCCAATTTCACTCCTTTGAACCTGACTGTTCTACAAATCAATCCTGTCAGAATTGTACTCTCTCTTGCCTTTTAAAAAATTTATTGGTGAGGGAACTTGTTGAAAGTGGGTCACCTTTTGTAAGATAGATTGTATTCTTATGGCAATTGGAGGCAGTTCATCTAATATTCTTGCTCTTAGTGCTGTGATCATTGATAGTCACTGTGAAATGGTGCTATGATTTGTGGTAGTAGTAACCCTGTAGTTCCACTGTACTTTATACAGAGGTAAGGCTGAGTTCAGGTTGTCACTAATTTGCCCCTGTATCTGATGTGCATCAGAGTGGAACCTCATTCATGAGGATCTTGCTCTTAAAGTGCTTTAAGAAGGTATTGGAGAATTCAGCATGCTTATTATGAAGCTTCTCTTTTTACTTCTTTGTGAAGCAGTGATGACTGAGAAATCTGCTTAATTAGTAATAAAGCCAAATACTTTGGCTTAATTGTGAGTCACCTGCAGTCACTGGCAGGAGAAGAGCAGATGAGTCTGCCATGCAGCCCAGCTCCTCCCAGCTCTCACAGTGCAGCTCCTGTAAACATTATATGGAGCTCCTTAGTGGTGAATGTCCAGAAAGACTCCTGCCTACCAGAATGGAGCAGTAATATTCTGATTTAAGTCAATTCCCATGAGTTAACACTAGCTTTCTTCTTACCACCAGTTGAAGTACTAGAATGTCCAAAATAATGCTTAATTGTTTTCTGTTTTCTTTCCCCCCCAGGTGTGTGAGCATCTGTTCGTTGGCCTTCAGCATGGATGGCATGTTTCTGTCTGCATCCAGTAACACAGAGACAGTGCACATCTTCAAACTTGAGACTGTGAAAGAAAAGTAGGTTTCAGAGGTGCCTTAGATTTTTTTTTTTTTTCAAGGAAAAGGCTTTAAAATTGATTATCCTCAACAGAATAAGCTCTCCAAACCATGGACAGACTTCTCTTAGAATACTTCTGCAAAGTAAAGGGCATAAGGAGTTACTTAGGAGCCAGCAGCTGAGCTGTTTTCCCAGTGAAAAGTTTTTTTCTGTCCAAGAGAAATTGTCCATCCTTGGCAGAGGAACATGAAGCAGTTCTAACATCTTCAGTTACAGTTTGCCTCTTCTGACATCCATGTGGGAAGAGCTATCTCAACACAGGGCTTTAAAAGGCACCAAGTTGTAAAATGTTCCTATTTATGATTTGAGAGGACAGTCTTACCTTTCTGTGAAAGCTGTTGGAAACAATTACTTGTTTAGTGATAACCAGGTGAATCAAATCTTGAAGTGTAGCACTTACCAGTAGATCTTGCTCTTGTATAATGAACCTTATGAAATGCAGTTTTATAAGCAGACACATCAGTTTACAATCAAAGATGCTTAAATAACAGGCTGAGGGTATTGTAGGACACATTGTACCCTGTAGCATAAACAGTGCATTAGAGTTCTCAAGGGTATTAGTTATTTCTGAAGAGAAACAAATAGCTGCTTAATCTATTGAAAAAAAGAGAAGTTTCAAAGTGATTACACACCTTTCTCTCTAATGTGAAGGCAAGGTCAATCACTTTTTGTTTTTCTTTTGACTTGTAGACCTCAGGAAGAGCCTACAACCTGGACAGGTTACTTTGGAAAAGTGCTGATGGCCTCAACCAGCTACCTGCCCTCTCAAGTCACAGAAATGTTCAACCAGGGCAGAGCCTTTGCTACAGTCCGCTTGCCCTTCTGTGGGCACAAAAACATCTGTGCACTTGCCACGTGAGTAGAGAAATGGAGTCTGCATTCCTCACCCACTGGAGTGCCACCTTGGGGTGTGGAGAGGCTGGCACTGTAGAACATAACCCCAGCTCCAGCAGAGTGGGTAGTGCAGGGAGCAGTGATCACCTGTAATCATTTCAAAGCCTCCTCATGTTTCAGAGCTAGCACCTCACAGTCCTGTGAGGGAAGGAAGGAAAGGTGTAATAAATCTTAGATGAGAACAGACTATTTCTGAGTGTCGGTTAAAGATGTCTTTTAATTTTGAAAGAAAAATGATAACAGGCCCATGGGCTTATGGCACTTGCTTCCATTAGTGCCAGGGGGAGTGATGCTGTTTATTGTGTTAGTGAATTGCAAAGTTAGGCAATCCAGACTAACCATTCAAGAAGGCTTTGAGAGCAAGTTCATATTACTCTTGTCTCTAAAACAACATAGCATTCATTAAACTTATTTTTGAGGACTAATCTAATCTTTATTCTGTCTTCACAAAAGGCAGGCCCCATTTGGCACAGCTACCAAAGCAATAAGCTGGGTTGGCTGTAAACTTGTTTTGTGGGGATTTTATAGTTTTTATGCTAAATTGACTTCATGTCTGTACTTTCACTTCTCTGATCTCAAAGCACCCTTGAAGCAGTAATTAAGCCTTGAAACATTTCTGAAAGAAGTAAGTACTTCCCATTAGGATATTTGTCTCTGGAGTTGCACCAAGCTTGGAAAAAGGATGGTAACTTCTGAATGTGTTTTATTGGGTTATATGTGAGTTGCTTGATTCTGCCTTATTTTTTTTATGGACAGTTCTTTCCTGGGTGCTGTTAACAATACACCTCTCCTCCACAGATGGGCTGAGAGAGTTGGGGGTGTTCAGCCTGGAGAAGAGAAGGCTCCAGGTGCAGCTCATAGTGACCTTCAGTGCCTGAAGGGGCCACAGGAAAACTGGGGGGGCTTGTAGAGAAAGGACAAGGGGTAATGGATCAAAACTGGAAGAGGGGAGATTTAGGTTAGACATTAGGAGGAAATTCTTTAGTGTGAGGGTGCTGAGACCCTGGCCCAGGTTGCCCAGAGAAGCTGTGGCTGCCCCATCCCTGGAAGTGTTCAAGGCCAGATTGGATGGGGCTTGGAGCAACCTGGTCTGGTGCGATGTGTCCCTGCCCATGCAGGGGGGTTGGAACTAGATGATCTTTAAGGTCCCTTCCAACTCAAACCATTCTGTGATTCTATGATTCCCTGTCTAGAAGCAAGAGTATAGAAAATAATAATGTAGAATCATGGGAGAAGGGTTTGCATTCTTAAGCTTGGATTCATCTGTTGCTCTCCCCTAAACCTTTCTAGAATTCAGAAGATCCCTCGTTTGTTGGTGGGAGCTGCTGATGGATATCTCTACATGTACAACCTAGACCCCCAAGAAGGAGGAGAGTGCACACTAATGAAGCAGCACAAGTAAGTCCCTTTTAGCTAGGAACTGTTGTATTTCATTTCTTGACAAAGTCCAGTTTGTTCTTCAACTTAGTTCTGTTCTGCGGAAAGTCTTAGAACAATTCATTCTTTAAACCAATCTTTTTCCAGATCTCTGAGGTGAACAAGTAACCTCAGAATCCCCCTGTGCCTTCCTCCTTAGTATCCAGTACCCCGAGCACTGCTCTACCAGCAGAAACTTAACACTGATTGCAGAGAAGGATCCATCACTGTGAACTGTGTGATCCTGTTCCCTTCCACTTGGCAGTTTTGAGTTCAGTTACTTAAACAAGAACTTGAAACATTTGACACCATCCTCTTCATCAATAAATGAAGCAGCTCTAGAGATGAGAGGGGGAGATGTTACCCTGACTTCACAGAGGGGAATCTGGCCTTTGAATTTATCTGTGTTCCTACTAAACTTCCTGGCTTACAAGCCAGTCAACTAATGTTCTGCAGCAGTACTGTAGAGCACTTAAGGCAAGTAAGATAAGGTGTTATTTTTTTAGTCAGGTTTGGCAGGAGAAGCCAGGGCAGTGCAGTGGGATTGCTTAGCTGGTCAGTCATAGAATTAAAGCAAATAACTCACCATGATAATTCAGGTTTGCAGCTTTGGTTAATCTATAATACTGGTCAGAAAACATCCCTTTATCTGAACATTTTAAGGTGTGACCTCTGGTTTGACTTGTAGATGAAATCTCAGAGAGCAGCAAGTTTTTTCAGGTTTTTAATTTCTGAAATGCTCTCATACCTTCATCTGGAGGGTTTTCTAGTCTGTGTGTGTGAAACAACTGCTGCTGTTGTCGATAGAGCTCAAGAGACAATCTGTAATATTGCTGGTGGGAATGGTGGCTTTTTTCAGTCATGCCCTCTTGTTCTGAGTCTTTTTTCCTAGCACCAGCCAATAGGATTTAGATCCTGTTGCCATGTCAGAGGCAAACATGTCACTGTTGTGTCTTCAGTGTTAAATACAAAGTGTTGTTAGATGCCTTCTTGCCAGTCCTCTGGAGTGGAGGGACCAAGTTCTTCCTGTTCCATGTGTGTATGCATTATTCTTGCTCATCTGATGAGATACTCTTCCATAGCTGACAACTAAAGCTGTGCTGTGCCCAGCAGGCCTCCTCTCCAGCTAACCCCTCTCTGTTTGGCAGGCTGGATGGCAGTATGGAGCCAGCCAACGAAATCCTGGAGTCCGCATCCCACGACCGGCCCTTGGTAGCACAGACCTACAGTGCTGCTGTGACTAAAGGTACATATGTGCCTTCCTCACCCACAAGGCATGGTAAGGAGAAGGCTGAACACGGGGCAGAGAGCACCTCTGTGTATTGCTTCATTCTAGATGGCTGCCCAGGCTCCTCTGCTGCAACACTGAGCTGCTCATAACTGCAGGTGTGATATGGAGCATGGGTGAGCAGTAGGAAAAGAGCACTTGTGATGTACAGTAGCCTCCTGTAGATGGATCACTGGTCTTTGCTACTTTCTGAGTAGAACTTTGTCTCAGATGATGGTTGATTATTGTGGTGGTAGTTGCAGTGCTTGCCAAACAGTTCTTGAGATGCCCCAACACGATTGTTTCATACAGGAGTTCTGCATCCAGACCCCATGCAAAGCATCTGAATTACAGCTCACCTTTTGTTAACAAGGTTGATAAGTGCTCCTGTCATTCCTTTATGGGAACAGTGAGCAATTAGCCTGATTTGGTGCTCTGTTAAATTGAGAGGATGAGAATGTAGTTAATGCTGCAGCTCTCCTAGTGGAGCTTCTACCATCTTTGTGTGGCACTCGGGGCAGCTCTTCAGCTGCACAGGAAGGACAGCCTGGATAGTCTTCATGTGTAGCACCACTGCTGCAGCATGCATGGGTGGAGATTAAGAAAAACATCAGCCAGCCCAAAGCACAAGCAGGTGTTGCACATGTGTAGAGTAATTCAGTTATGATCATAAACTGGTCTTGGCTGGGAGAATCACAGTCATCATAAAAGCAAACCTGGGACGGCAGTGAAACTGTTGCAAGTCATGTCTGCTACTTCAGCTCGAATCATTCACATTGAATCCAAGCCTTAGTTTGTGCTGCTGATCCCCCAACTACTTGTTCCTTTCCCTCCAGCCTATACAGATGACCTGGGTGCTGTGGGTGGAGTTTGCCTGGAAGATGAAACCAACTCACTTCGATTGGATGAAGACAGTGAGCATCCCCCCATGATCCTTCGGACAGACTGAACCTTGACCTGTGAACTCACTCCTGAAGCAGAGAACACTGGCTTGATGTCTCTTGAGGAATCTCGTGTTATGCTGCTATGAACTTTGACATGAGTTGGGAGAGAGGATGACAGACTCTTACAGTTTTAAGTCCTAGCTGTAGTTCTAATTCTATACAATTGGAAAAATATATGGTTTTCAATTCAGTGGCTTTTAATCTTGCTTATCTATTTTAGCTGTGTTTATTTTTTTTTGTTGCCAAAACCTGCTGTTTGTGCAGCCCTCAGAGCCTACTAGCTTTGCATGCCTTCATGTGCCAAGCAAGCATAGGAGGGGGAGAGAGAGAAGCCACTTTATAGCAAACTCAAGTTTGTATTTTTTTTTATATATGTATATAATATTTAGCTTATATAAGGAAGGAGTCAAGAAGTGGTTCTGGAAGCTGAGACTGGTTCTGCACTGACAAAGGTCCAAATGGTTTCCTGTGCATGGGCTTGCAGGCATACCTAGTGACTGACATGCAACCTTTCAAATGCAATGGCCTGGTTTTTTTGGTTCTCCCTCCCCTTTCCTGGACCATTTTGTTAATTAAAATTCCTTCTGAATGTTGTGTATTTGTGGGACTGTTCTGTTTGTTGGGGTGGAAAACTGAAAGTGTTTCCCTGCATAAGGATATAGGATATAGAATATAGAAAGTGCCTTTACAGGGAAGAAAAGGAACTGCTGCAGGAAGCAAGCTAGGACGACTTGCTGGAGGCTGTTTGTACACCTGTAGTACTTGGGTGTCTACAGCCTACAGTCTACAGTGGCTGATAAGTTTGTGAGGTGTTTTGTTGTTGGGTTGTTTGGTTTTTCTTAGAGAAAACTGGAATGCACTTTCTTTCTCTCCTGTAGGTTGTCTTATTTCCTTGGCAGAGCAGCAATAACCTTTTTTTATACTTTTTTTTTGTTAAATTAAAAAATTATCCAAAGCAAGGATCATGTCAGGCTGGATGGAAGTCCCTGTGGAATATGGCAGCCTCACTCTTTAAACAGCCCTAAGGTTCTCAGCTGGAAGGCATAGCTCTCCATTCTTGCTTCTCTTCAGGCTGGGGCTGGCTGTACTGCTCTAGTAGTGCAGGTTCATTTTTTTTATTTTTTTTCCAGATACTGCTGTAAATATAAGTGATTTTGAAAGATGAATTTTCTTCTGGGTTCTCTTCTGCTGGATAGCAGTGCTTTCCTTTTTTTATTAATTTTTTTTTATGTCCCCTTTCATCAGAGTACCTCTTATGATATGCTTCAAGGACTGGTTGTCTCTTTGGCAGTTTTGGAATCCATCCCTAACTGCCCTGACCCTGGCTCAGGCTTTCCAAGGCTGAGCAGTGCTGCAGACTATTTTTAGGGTTGTATTGTGCCTTCTCTTAAGTCTTGGATAACAGTTAGTAAGCAAGTGATTAGCTAAGTACTTGGTGAGTGTTACTTTCCTTTGCCAAAATGAACCTGTTTGGCCTTTTGTGTGGCAGTGTGGGTTGCTTCCCTTTCCTCTAGGACTGCTTGCAGAGAGCTGAAAATAAAGGCAGGGAAATGGCAGATCTTGAGAGGAAGACAGAAGCTGAGGACTCCAGCTGTGTGAACTCCCTGTCACAACCAGACAGTGATGTGCTTTTAGGGTTTGGTAGGGTTAACAAGTCTTCTCTCAAGCAGTAGGTGGCAGTGGTCTTTGTCCCCAAAGACCTGTGTGGGCAGGTGGGCTTCCCCTTACTCTGAAAGTGCAGAAGATGGTGGTAGCCCCTGTCAAGAGAAGCTGTGTCAGTGAGGCTGCTGTTGGCCCATGTATGTGGAAGATGTTCTTGTCTGAGGACATGTGGAAGAGCAGGGATCAGGTTTGTTTATTCCCTGGAAGCCTTGACTGTCCTAAGTGCTTGGCTGCAGCAGCTTGTAGTGTCCTTTCCAGAACCCAGCTCACTGAAAGCAGCCACTGAGATGTGCTCAAGTCTCACTTAGTCTTGACTTTGAGCTCTGGCTGACAACTAAATCCTATCGTCTAGAATTCTTTGATTTTACTGCAAATGCCATCAGCTTTGCTGTGGAGCTCACAACTGCAGAGTAAAATACAAGTCTCTAAGGAAATAAAAGCTCAGTGAGCACTGCTGGCAAACTGAACCTCCCAGGAGCTGTCAGATGTGTGTTCATTGCAGAGTAAAGCTGGTGACATTCCTGGTGACAGATCTGGAGCCTTGGCCTGAACTCCACAAGCAGCACAGGTCTGCTAAGCACAGGTTTCCAGCTCTACAGAGTGTAACAAAGGCCACGTTACACAGTAAGATGTACCCCTTAATCACTAAATTTACTTGGGACATTTATTGTGCTAATTTATCCCCTTATTACCTAAAACACCTGATCTTTGTTGGGTGAGTTGATGATCCCACATTCACTGTGTGTCCCATATGCTGGGGTGTGTTCCTGCACCACACACTGACTGCTCAACTGCTGTGCCCTGCTTGGTTCACTCTGAAGTGGGAGCTGGAAGCCAGTTCAAGTTACCAATCATGTTGGTTTTGCAACAGGGAGAATCTTTTTAGAGGGCAAAAGTGTTAATATTGTGGGGTTAGTGACCAGCATGATGCTAGTAGGGTGGGGCAGGTGGTTCCTGGTCCCCACGGACAGTGTCTTTGAGGTTGGTGACAGTTTGTCTTAACTTGCATGAGGATATGAAGTTTCTCAGATAAAATATGACTAATATCATTTCCTCTGATGGCCTTGGGCCCTCAGTAACCACCCTGTAGTGGTGAGCTACCAAAGTTAGAAGCCTTTCAGGCAATGGCACAAAGATGTTATTTGTTTTTCCTCAAACATCCCAGGAATGCTGTTGGCAGCTGCATCCCCACCTGAGGATGGAGCATCCGATGGCTCTGTAGTGCTCTGTGGAGCAAGTGGTGTCTGACTCTGTTCTGATGGTCTAGCAAGCCTGGACCCTCAGGGTGAACCAGGGAGGCTCTAGCCCTCTGCTGTGGTCATGGCCTTGTATTCCTAGGATGTGGGGACACCTGTACAGCCCCTCTCCTTTTAGCCTGAGCTTCCTTGGAAGGACAGTGTTTGTTCTGTGACTGTGTGTGTCTCTCAAGTACAGCCTGCACTTCTTGACAGCTTTTGTAACTCTTTGGAGTGCTGGAGGCAGAGATAGGCAACAGGAACAACCAAAGCTGGGGAGGGGGGAATACATATACACTTGGAATCCTAAACTCAGGTCTTAGATTGCAGTGGGAGCTGTTCCCAGTGATTACTGCAGTGAAGGAGCTGTTTCTCTTGATGTGCAAATAGGTCCCAAGTGTACATACTCCCCATCTGTCTGTTGGCCATACTTTGTGTTGCTGGTTCTGAGGCAGAAAGCTTTTATCTGCTTCAGACTCATAAGTCACTGTTTCCAATATACAAGTGATAGATACAAATCTAGCAGTTAAAAGGCCGGGCCTGGCAGAGGAGGAGGAGGAGGAAGTAAAAAGCCTGAAGAGGTCAGTGAAAGCTGCTTCTTCTGAAGCCCTGTTCAGCCAGACGTTGGAGCAAGTGCTGCCTCTGGGACCAGGTGTGTGTTCCTTGCTGCTTCGAGTCCTACACCAGTGAGTTTCTTGGGCCTGTTTCTACAGAAGGTGGGGGCAGAGGTGGTGGCTTTTCAAGTCTGCCTGAATGCAAATAAATATCTGAGCAGGCTCAGGGGTAAGAGGTGTCTCCACAGAGGAAATGTGTCTGGCCTGTGTCTAATGGGAAAAAGGGAGGAATGAGCTGCAGAGCAGCCAGCTTGGGGAGCAGGTTAACATAGAGCCCTGAGAAGCTGATCAGCAGAGACATGTGTGTTACATCCCAGGCTGTGCTTTCCTGATCCTAATAATGGCATTAGCACCAAAGAAACATGCTGTAAAACAGTAGGATTTCTTTCTTGCAGGACATGGAGCTATTCAGTGTTATCACTTGTGTGTGCAGATGTTCCACTGCTGTTTGCAGAGTGACAGGAGTCTTTGTCCAAAGCATGTGTGGGGATTAATTGCTGCAGAGGGTTGGAAAGTCATATTCTGTGCTCCAGCTGTCCCAGCTAATGGTCACCTTGATTTAACCTGTTAACATCTGAGAGCAAAGCAGAGTGATTTCTGCACATGTCCAGAGCAGGCCTTTGTTTTTCTGGAATCTGTGCTGTACCATGAAAGGCTTGCAGTGAGGAACTCATGGCTCTGACTGTAAACAGATCCTCAGATTCCAGTTACACAGCCAAAGGAATTCAGCAAATTCCTGTTTTTCTAACTATAACATGTCTTCATTTTAACCCACTCCAAATTGGCCAATCTCATTTTGCACTGCCTTGAAAGGAACAGACAAGAAGTTTTTAATCTGGCTTTCAAACAGCTCCAGTTGTGCTGGTTCCAGGTCCATGTGGCTGCAGCCCTTTGTGCACCAGCTCCCCCTGCTCTGCCTTTGCATGTGTCCAACTCATTTCTCAGGAGTGGGGAGTTGTTTCCAAACCTGTAGCTCTGGGTTTCTGTGGAGTATCGACTCAACCCTTTGTCTACCTGGATCTATTTGCTCTTGCATTTGCTTCCTCACCTGGATAAAAAGCAAATCCCAAACACTTGCATCCTGGAGTGCTCACTTACTCTGATATCTGTGTTGATAAGTGGACAAATCTGTCTAACATTCCATCTCACCAAGTGTCTGGCTCTCACTGCTAACCCATTGCTCCTTGTAATTTTATAACTGCCTAAGAAATTAAATCTGTGTTGTGATAAGTATTTTGTGTCTTCTTCCTTTTGTTTACTGCTTGGAGGTGGGGCAGGGTCAGGATCAGGATGATCCTTCATGTGTTCTCTCTGTGGCCCAAACCACCAGCAGTAGCAAGGCCTCAGTCCCAGCTGTGCTTTGTAGCTGCTGTCAGAAGACACCTTTGGCTTGAGTTTCCAGGGAAAGGCCAGGCTGTTTTCCCTGACACATCTTGCTTGCAAATGTCATTTTCCCTCATGTTCCTCCTTCAAGCTCTTCTCAAGGGACTCGCACTCATGCTTTTCTCTCCTTCTCCTCGGGTGATCTTAGATAACTTCCTTTATCCTTTTTCCTATGGGTTGCATCTGAAGCAGTGCTCCCAGCCAGGCACCCTGCTCACTCTGCTGTCACTCTGAGCTTCTGACTTCTCACCTGCTGGCCCAGGAGGAAGATCTGCAGTGAGCTGAATGGGTGAGGAGGCACCTGCTGCTTCTGTACGTATCCTCCCTTTTGCAAAACCATGATAAACACTCTGATCAGGACAAGAGAGAAAAAGCCTTTCTGCTCTTGCTAACAATGATGCAGCAGGTGATGATGAGACTCTCCTTGTCCCCCTGGGTGACTATTTCATGGCCTGGCCTCAGCTGTGAAGCTTCTGACATCCCCTCCCCTGATCTAGCTCTGGGGGGCAATGCTGTCCTGCCGGTGCCGTTTGTGCACCTCCCTTTGCTTCAGGCAAGATCAGCATGTGAGCTCGGATGAGTGTTTCTAAACTTCTTCAGGCAGCTGGTGACGTTTCCTGCCTTCTGCCTGGAGAAAACTGAAGATCTGAGAGAAGCTGCAGGTGGATTCCCCAAGTGGCAACAACTACCAGTCACAGCAGTGA